AATTTGTGTATTTTATGGTCATAGGTCATCAATGTCACGATTGCACAAAGCGTATAAAGGAGAGGAAAATGGGCAAGTGGATATATTTCTTCATGAAGGGCCTGGGTTTTTACCACTAAAAAAAGTTTAAATGGCAAAACATCACTTATATCTGGATAACCCCTCATTCTCTGTTGCTCTGTTTCGGGAGGCCTGGGAAATGCTTGTTTGGATGAATTGAGGATTCTGGGATTCCTCCACTCTCCCTTCCCCCCCCTTGCCATCTGGCTTGAAGTTACTTTTTGACTTGTGGCTTTTTGGTGTGAATTTGGTGTGAAGTAGTGTTGGTGCAAGTTTTCCTCTAAGAAGCAAAACCAGTTTTAGTTTTGCTGCCCCATCACTTCCATTAGTGGCTGTTGCTCTGAGTCTTGCAGAGAAGGCATCAGAGGAATGTAAAAAGGTCTGTTCTTTTGTTAAATCTCAGTTACCACGGGCTTTTTGTTTGTTTGGCCCAAGATTATTATGAAGACTCATAATTTGGAGGAATTGCTGCCAACTTTTTCTTTGGGTTATTCTTTCTTTAGTAGAGAGAGAGAGAGAGAGATCTCTAGGTATATTGCCTGATCTTGCTTTTCCTCCAGACAGTCAGACATATTATGCTCTGTTGGGAGGGAAAAGTCTTTTCATGAAATGATTTTATAGTGATTTCTCTGTTGGTTTTCATGGCTAACAGAAAACAAATAATAGAAAATTCCTAGGTTGATGACTGTAATGTTTTTATAAATGCCTGTATCTATGTGTGTTGGAAAAGGATTTGTCGCCATGCTTTATTGTTCTCTTTAAAGATTCAGATTAATCCTCAAAATGTTTACTCAGATGTGATGAATTACAAGTGGATGAAATTACATTGTTGTCGGATTGACTCATCATCCTGCTTCGCTCCCCCCATGGAGACCATTGACTTCCAGCTCTGAAGAGTTTGCTCACTCGGAGACCTGGGTTTTACACAGATGACGCATCTCCCTTGTTAGAAATCTAGAGGGTTTTGATAACTGGCTTTTGAGATGATAATCAAGGATAAGAGGAGAAAAAAGGCCAGGGGGTAGGACAGCTGGAAGGGAAGGAAGAGCAATACCTATCTCTCTGACTTACTTACGACAAGCTTCTTGCCAAAAAAGATGCGCAGGGTCATTAAGCGAGATGAGGAGAGTGGGGAATGTTTTAGGATATCAGCAGTTTGAAATGCCCCGATGCCACATAAAGCATTGCCCCAGCAGCTAAAGCATGTGGCAGTGAGAGATTATCTTGGTGTGGCTGTCTCTCTTATGCACTTGCTGCACTTTAGTCTCCAGGTCTTTGTGCCTTTTATAATCAACGGTGAGAGTGTTGCTTCGTGGCTAGAACATGCTGCACCCTGGTGTCTGCCTTCACTCTGTATAAAAGGGGAAAAATAATAATTGCTCCTCTGTAAAGCTTTTTCTAGTTCTGTGTTGATATATCAATAGGACTGTGATTATTAGACGTAGGTTTTATTTTGTAGCCTTCTAAAACACTTTAATCTTAGGAAGGGGAGACTGTAGATGTGAGGGAGTTTGGACTGAAGGCCTCTGGAAGGACAATGCCTGTTTCTGAATATTTCTGTGTAATTCTAGAAGAGTTTTCACAGCAAACTGAAGAGGGAAGTTGTTCCTTGCTGTACTCAGCATTTTGCTAAATACTGTTCATTCCCAATAGCTAAAATAGCCTGAATACCATGAGGGCTTCTTACTAACCTATAACTATGTTAATGTCTTTCTTGTCACAAGGGTAGTTTCTCTCAGTAAAAAGCCAAAAAATTGCACACTGCAGAGTGCACACCATGGACATTGCCAACAAACAGCTGATGCAAATTCCCTGCAAAAATGAGGCAGTATTTACAAGGCTGACTTGCTTTGGGGAAAACTATCAGTGGAAACTAGTTGCTGTGAGAGGAAAATCCAGTCTGATGGAAGTGTTTGGTTGGGTTTGGGTGCTTTGTTGTACCTTCAGGTGTACAGGATCTGCAAACTACTTGTGCCAAAAGTCTGTTTTCTAGTAAATGCTCTGGTACTTCAAGCTTTATGAAACTCTGAAAATAGTTTAGATAGGCTGTGTGCATGGAGAGAGGATGGTCCTTCTCACAAATTTTGGCACTTTCAGTTCTGATAACATGAGAGTCAGTTATGTTTGGATACCATTTGGTGGCTAGCCTGCCTTCAGAGTAACAGTTTGCTGCGCCTGCCATTTAACAGCTATCGTTTTAGATAAGATAGGAGAGATTTGTATCTTTGAATCCTGAAGAAATGAACATAAGCCTCTGAATCTGGTCCTAAAGCTGAAGATCTTGTCTTAAATTCCTGATGAGAACCTGAAGTAAGGTTGACTTGATAGTAACATGGGATTGCAGACTGGGCTTGGGGCAGGAAGGGGCAAGAGGGGTGTCTTCTCTGCTCTTTGCAGACAAGGGCTTGTTATTATCTGTCTGGGTGAATTTAACAGAGATTAAGGAAAACAATGTGTATGTTTCTGTAAGCAGAAACAAGCACATTCCCTTGGTAAGTGTTCAGGAAATTTGCCTGTGGGACCCTGTGTTATGCCATGGTTCTGCTGCTGTGGAATCAGTCTTGTAAATCCATAGCCCAAGCTCAGGAGAGACATTCCTGATTGTGGTGTTTTACCGCTTGCACAGAATAGCCAAAGAATTTCCTACATGAACTTGAAATATATGGATATTAAGGCACAGAGGTTGTTCTCCTGATTTACATTTCTGCATTTAAGCTTTCCCCTTGCAACTTAATCTGACTTGAATTAATATAAATGCAGCTTTATAAAATTATTTCATTGCTGGAGAGAGAGATACCTGTATGCACTTATGGTACCTGGACTAGTGATAGGAGGAGGCTCGTGGGCTAGCACAAGCATCTTAACCACTGCTTTCTAGTTCTGTTAAATGCCTACAACTGATCTAAAGTAACACTTGTATTACATTTTATAGCTCTCAAAAATATATGCTGTTTTCCCTGTGTAAAAATTGTTAAGCTAGACATTTTAGTGCACTGCTGGGAGAAGTGAGCTGTCACTCAGCTCCTCATGCTGTCAGCTTTGGAACTTGGAGACGACAAACTTTGGCACAAGCACTTGTTCTGCAACAGAAACATCTGTTATACTTACACTTTGTCTCCCAGACACCTTTTGGTATGTTGTGAGAAAAGCCTGCCCTCGACTCCCCAAGGTGCTGTAGCTTTTTTCCTCTGATGATTTCTGATGTGGTTACAGTTGCCAATAGAGAAATTGCTGGTAGATTGAAAATGTGTGGGCAATGTCAAATGGACTGTTATTTCAAAATGCACACAGAAGACCCTGCTGATTTGGTTGTATTAGTTTAATTTTATTCTTAATTTCTAAAAGTTATGACTTTTTTTTTTTTTTTTTAAATTTAAATTGTAACCGAGCAGGTACAGGTTCAACAGATTTCTTGCTTGAAAGGGCAGCACAGTCAAGGCTAAGCTCATGTCGTGAAAGACTCTCTGGCCTTTGTCATCTTTAAAGACAGCCAGGAGTTGTCTAAAGACAGAAAAAAGTTGCACTTGTAGCCATGTTCCAGTTCCACAAAGATCTGTGCAAACTGTATTTAGCTTGTAGGGGAATAACAAGCGTATTTATTTCTTGAATAGCACCAAGAATGATAGTACCGCCTGTTTCAGTGCCTAAAAAATGAGGTGTTTTCTCCTCTAACTTCCTTGGCAGCGGGGCGCGCAGAGTCCGTGGCACAGCAAGGGCTTGCGAGAGCTTCATGGTGGTTGATCAGAATCTGACAAGGCCATGCGGAGTCGGGGTAGCAGAGTGAGCTCAGCGTGAAATGGGGCTGGCCAGGTGGGAAGAAAGCTGTTCTCTTGCATATAAAAAGTTAGTTATGGTTTGGGGAGTGGAAAGAGTTTCCTGAAGCCGAGGAATAGTCAAATTAGAAGGGCTCTGCAGATACACGACATTTCTTTGGCCGATCATCTCTCTTTTCACCTCATGCTGAAGATGTAGTGGGAAAGAGAAGATTTTGCTTTACATCTTTTGCTTGCGGTTCGGTTACGCAACTTTTTTGTTTGTTTTTGGTTTTTTCCCCCCTCCTTTCTCTCACATCTCCATTCTCCAAACTCAAACTGCCAACTACATCTACTGCTTGTATTCGTCTGAAGTGGGAAGATTTCGAAGTACAGAAGCTTTGCCAAAGTTTTTTTTTGTGGTTTTTATCCACACTAACTTCTTCTATTTCTGTGGTTTACTTGGGGCTACATATTCATCTATATGGAGATGATGATCAGAGTGGAAAATACTGGCATTTTGTATTTGGCCTAGCAATTACTTCTCATTCTGTAGAAAACAAAACAAACAAAAATCCTGCTTACTCTTAAAATATCTGGTTGTCAGACCTTTTTTGCAGAAGCTCCCTATTGTATCCTTTTTGTAATGGACTGATAACGAGTGGGTTTATTCCCTTGCACAACACTTCTCAAAAAAAAAAAAAAAAGCACTGCATTTGTCTGTTTATCTTTTCTCCATTGTTCATCTTTTGCTCCTTTCTGGTGAAATAGTTTTCTTTTTTCTTTCTTCAGTTTCTACTACTTTATACACGCTGAATGGCTAACTGTATTTAAAGATATTTGTAAAGTGCCTCTGGCAGAAGAGTTTAGGCACCTCTGTTGCATCTCTGCTAATTGAAATGGAAAGAGAGACCATGCCTGTGTTTCTGGCTGGCTGTGTTGGGTCATTATTTAAGGGACAAGATGGGAAAGGGGGCTGCTGTTGAAGAACTCCAGCAGATTTGCACAAATTTGCTGTTAACGGACTAGGATATTTTCTCCCCTCCCTTCTCTGTCTCGCTCTTTTCCTTTCTTTTTGCTTTGCAGGACTGCTTCAGTTCCTTCATCATCTTGCAATGCGTGTCCGTGTCACAACCTGACGCTGCGGCGAACTGCTAGTCCAAGGCTGACCCTTTGCTTTTGCTGCAGGCTGACTCCTCAGGTTTGAAGACTTGTTGACACCACTGAGTCTGACGCTTGGACCTTCGAGAGAAGAGACTTTCTGACGGCCCTGCTCCACTCCACCTGACCCTATGACCGGAGGCTTCACCGTAGCTCCATCCTTCGGTCTCCAGTTCCTCAAGATGGGTTCGTTCAGAAGGCCCCGACCTCGCTTCATGAGCTCCCCGGTCCTCAGTGACCTCCCGCGGTTCCAGGCAGCCCGGCAGGCTCTGCAGCTCAGCTCCAACTCTGCCTGGAACAGGTGAGCAGGACCGACCCTGGCTGAGCCCTCACCCAGCAGCAGCCCCACGTCTGTCCCATCTTTGTGCTTCAGACCATTTACGGCTAAGCTCATCCCTTCGTAAGCACGCATGAATTTTTAGCGTGCCCGAGCTTTGCCAGCATTCAAAGCCTCCATGGAGGTGAAAAAATTAGACCTCGTAGTGTTCAGCCTGGTTTTTGGCCAACGTTGTTCAGAGGTACTGTCTTGAAGTAAAGCAGAATTGCTCTTTGTTAACAGCTGCATCTTTTAAGTACCATTTAGGAAAACATATTTCTAGTACTGTAACAAAGGCCAGTTTCTTAATGCACAGCAGGCATTTATTTGCATATTATGAAGCTCTTACCACAGTCAGGTTCCTCTGACAACTGCTAAGCTTGTGGCTGCTACCAGTATTTCCTATTGACAGCCCAATCCTGCCTACAGTGTGTGTCATGCAGCAATGGCAACTGGAAAAACAATGTGTAGGATGAAGAGTGAGATGTCCTGACCCGATCTAACGGTCTGCTGCTACCAAAAGCGGGTATTCCCACATTCCTTTCTGCCACCTTGCACCAGCTCCGTGCTCTGCAGACCCCTTTCTCTTGCTGACCTAGCTCAGCTTACTAATGGCGCATGAAAGTAGCCTGGCAAAAACATGGCAGTCTTGTGCCAGGATAGTGAACTGTGGTCCATGAAGCGTGCAAATGCCATAACTGGCCCACGAAAGGGAATGCCCGTTAAGTGAAAGACTCCTCCTGTTGTTAGCCATGGCAAGTCTTTAGACCTGCTAAACCATCTTGTATGCAGTCACTTGATGACTTCCTCCGTGCTGGTGAGAGAAGTATGAGTTTAGAAGATCCTCCAAGAGCATCTTACAAGCATTAAGAGGTCTTAAAGTTGGGTCTGACTGCCATGATGCTGGCTGCAGAACATCTTGCAGCACAGCCATGGTCCTGCTAGCATCCCTGCAGAATGCAATGTGATGTGTTTGGCAGATATTGCCAAAAATCTATGTCTGCTCATAGCAACTAGCCTGCAGCACACAGCAGAGATCCCCAGAACAGTCGTGTTAAAGATGTATCTGGTGTGAATGTGTTCTTTGTGAACAGTGTCCCTGTCACAATTTTCCCTCACTTACCTGTCTCCCATGGGAGATGTAGGTAAATAAGTGATGATTTCCAGGGGAGAAAAAATGGAAGAATTTAAGTGCGATTAACCTCTCCACCCCATTATAACCAGTCAGGTTTTGGGGACTAGCTCACATTGCGCTCTGTGTTAAATCATACTGGTGGCTTTTATTTATGGATGTTGTACTGTCTCGTTTCTTTTTTTGGCAGTGTTCAAACAGCAGTGATAAACGTGTTCAAAGGGGGAGGCTTGCAGAACAATGAACTTTACACCCTCAATGAAAATATCAGGTAGGTTGCTGAAATGCATCAAAAGGGATTTTTGTTGCTGCTTGTTTGGTGTTTGCTTGGTTTTGTTCCCCTACAGAACTGCAGTTAGAGGATATTGGTGGGAGGAGCAGGGATTGAAGCAAACTTAAGCACACCTTTGGGGTTTCGGACTAACTTGCTTCTTTTTTGCTGTTGGGTGGAGTGAATGGCATGGAGCACTTGGGTAGTATTTCTCTGACTTTTGTGGATATGTAGCTTTGACAAGGAAAGGATGTGTATTGACTTGGATTATAAGGATTTTGTCCCCTCCTAGGGAGTTTGCCTCTTCTGGCTGTTTTTTACACATTTTTATCAGGGCATTTGTGATGGTAATAATGTCTCTTTTCTAAACCCAAGCTTCTCAGAACCATGGAGTGTTTAAAATGAAAGCAAAACGCAGCATTTCATTTAAAAGCTTAATCTTCACATGATATTTGCAGAGCAAGACCTGAAAATACGAACCCTGAAGATAAAAAAACTAAAAGCCTAACAAACGTTTTCTAACACTGATGCTAGTGATGATTAAAAGTATCATTTTTTTTTTTTAAGCAGGTTTCATGATTATCTGTGGTTTCATTCTGATTATTTGGAAAGTTTGGTTAGCGATAGGACTGTAGAGTAGATAAAGAACAATTTATTCTTGCCTTGGTGCCAAGCGTTGCTAAGAGGAGTATTGTCAGAGCTCATGGATGTAGTTCCTCCTCCCTCTCTCTTTCCCACTACATCCATACTCATTCATCATAAATGCTGTCGTATAGGTCTCCACTTCTCCTTTTATACAACTCCCCCCCCATCCCTATTGCATTTTTCCTGAGCGCCAAAATTCAGATGGCAATTTGGGCTAAGCATGTACTACGCAGCAGTCTAAACTACCCCTTTCTCTACTTTCAAAATAAATGCTGCTTGCAGGGCACAAGACTCTCTCCTACTTGGTCTGGTCCCAAAGGTGAAAGTTGAATATAATTCCTTTTGAGAGCTGAGTGAGGGCAGTGTCTCATGCTTTAACAGTATTTTAGTGTGCTCAGGTCAGAAGTCCTCAAGTTAAGTTTAACTCCTTGGAGCAGTCTTAATTCTCCATGGGACGAGTATTCCAGTGCAAGCCGGTGCTCCTTCCCACCCTTGCGAAAAGGCAGTGCGCTGGGCAGAATAGCTGTTTTGCCTGGGCTTGGTAGTGGCTGGGCTGTGCTCTCTTCGTGGTGGTTCCTGAAGTGGATCTAGGGTGTTGACAGCCAGGTGAAGAGCAGGAAAGTCTTTGTGAATCGTGTGTGCCTTGTAAGCAGTGCTGGTGGTGGGAGGGGAGACGTCCTCTTCCACGGACAGGCGCTCCCAGGCAGCACTTGGAAGCGCTCACCTTGAAATACGTGATTAATGTTCCTGCAGGTGCCCTGAGCATTGGTTACATCTCCAAATGTCATTCTCTAAATAGGCCACTAACATTCAAGTAGCTCATTAATGCCCGTCTAAGGGGCAAAGCGCGTGCATCTGCGTGTATGTCTGTATGCACGCCTGCAGCCTCGCACCTCCGGCTCTCGCTGCAGCTCCCGACACGTTAGCTCTGTGTGCGCGAGGTGAATCTCTAGCTTGACTCTGGGCAAAAAGCCAGGCCTGTCAGATGGCCAACTATTGCGTGCCATTAGGTTGAGCTGGTGCGTTTTCCTTGTTTGTAGTTCTCCATTCAGCTCCACGGTGGAAGTTAGCAAATGCACTGCTTTAAGAGACTCGCAGATTCTGCACAGCGCTTAGTTATTTCACAGTGCGAAACGCAGGAGAGTTTTCAAGTAGGGATAGTAATGACAGGACCAGGAGATGAGCAGGTGGTAACATTTTGCTCTGGATTGCTGCCACCAAGTTTTTATCTTGCTGTGATTTGATATCATCTCACTGGATGCTTTTTTTTTTTTTTGTACTGCTGTGCAAGTCAGTTGTCACAGCAAGAGGAAATGTGAGAAATGCCGTTGGGAGATGGGATTTCAGAAGCAGGAGGTGACCTGGCTGCAATTAGGAGGAGACCCCGTCCCTTGGGTTCTCTCTAGGGTGCAAGCCTCTGGTTGCTGGTCTACCTGCGCGAAGTGAAGTCCTGCCATGGGCTTGTCAATCAGCTGGTGGAGAGCCCCTTGGATTCTGCTGAAGCTGATGGGAGAGCTTCTGGAAAACAGGCCCCCAAAGACTTATCTGGTTTATCCATCTCATAGAAATAGAAATGTGCTTTGAGATGGGCAGGGTGAATATAACCGCTCTGAGAGAGAAAGAGTAAAGGCATTTGGGCATGCGAATAAATGTAGAACTGTTACAAAATGGTTAGGAAGGAAGGTTGCTGTCAAAACTGACTTTCAGCAAAAATTAGGAAAAAAGTGGTGTAGTTTTGTTAGTAAGAACCCAGCCTGAGAACTGGATGGTCCCTGATTCAAATGCCGTTTTCGAGCACTCTTGATTATACTTCACGTTGGTGAACAGCAAATCTCTTAGAACAGAAAAAAAAATGCAATGTTTTGCAGTGGAAAGTGTTGAGAGCCTTTTAAATTTTAGGCAGAATTTACTGCTACAGAATTTATGCTCTGAGTCACTGAAAGCTGAAAGTGCAAATGCTCTGAACTTTGAGTTGTTTTTTTTAATGCTGCTTCTGATGTAAAACAATCCTGATTTTTATATTCAAGTTTTGAAATGGAAATATGTATTAGAATTTAAAACTTATATCACAGCCCAATTTAAAATCCAAGAGTTTTTATCAGAAATACTTGTTTAGAGTGGCTTCTGCTGGCATGTATTTAAAACACCTCTTGTTAAATTTCTAGAATTTCTTTCTTGAAAAATAAGTTTGTTTGTTTGTTTGTTTTTAAATGCGGTAGTCGTGGAAAAGCTGCAGCTTCTGCTTGTGTGTTTACTTCATTGCTCCTCACCTTATCCTCCCACCTTCTACTTCCAAGAGGAAAGGAAGTACACCATTAGGGAGATATGCTATTTTCAGTGAAATGAAAGGCATCTTGGTTTAAACAAAAAGCAGAAAAAATGATTAATTTCAAACTAAATAACTTCAAATTGTCTCCCCAACTTTCTGTGCATTCAGGGGGGTAATTTTTTTTTTTTTTGCTTGTTCTAAGTTTATGGCTTATAAATAGAAGACTTCAGGGAAACTTTCATTCCTTCGTAATTTGAGAATAGCTTTTGTGGGCATTTGTAGAATATACATCTAAATGTAAAAGAAATCTAACTGTGGCCAAAACAACACAGTCACATATAGTCACGTAGCTTTGGTATGACTGGTAGTAAAGTGCGGCTATACCTGTAAGAAATGACCAGCAATGGCTGTTACTTCATGGCTGCATTCCTTCTGTCTACAGACGGCTGCTGAAGAGTGAACTTGGATCCTTCATCACAGATTACTTCCAGGTATTACATGATTTGCTTGCTTTCTTTTGAGGTTTGCTCTCTTCAGCTTTTTAGCCTATGAAAAAATTAGGACCCCTTTTTACATGCATGTAGCCTACTAGTTTCGTTTTTGTTTTGCTACAGAAGATGATGGAGGTATGGACGTTTTTAATGTGGGCCGTATAGCCTTGGGAGTAATCATATGTATGGGTGTATGTGCTAAATTAAGGATAATCTTCCTTTGCGCTTAAGAAAGGCTGCTAGTAGCCTGCCAAGGTCAAGAAGGAATTCATCACTTGAACTTTTTAAATAAGATGGGTTACCTTTTCGTAGTTTTTTTCACCCTTTTTCTCTAGTACAGAGAATTCAGGAGTAGGTTTTCTGCAACAGGGGCCAGCAAAGGGGAAGAGAAAAGATAATGGCTGTCTGTTTTGGGGGGGTGGAGGGGGCAGGGAAGGAAGTCCCTATCAGCAGGAAATCAACCTGGGTACTGTTTGCCTTTTAGTCCCACAAATACAAACGCAACCTGTGAAGAAGCGAAAGATGAAGGATGAGGGAAGACCTGATCAATCACAAACGTGAATAACTGTTATTGCCTTTTACTGATACTGTCCAGATAGACGGAGGTTCCAATGTAACCACATGAAAGTGTGCTGGATGATTTTGAGAGAGCGCTGATGGTTTTCAGTGTTGTAAGTTGTTCCAGTGTAGTGTTGATTAAAAAAAGGAGGAGGCTGCTGAAAACAAGAGGGTTTTCTTCCCTTTGAGTAAGAGAGAGAGAGAGGAAAAAAACCAAAACCATTTCAGTACTTTCTGAAGCGGCTGACGCTGCTGTGTACTGTGCTAACAGCTTAGAAAGGGGAAGAAAAAGACCAGTGTTGTTTCCTATCAGTATTAGATTACATGACTTAAAAAAAAATTCCCCATGCTGTGCTACCAAGTGAGAAGCAAACTCCTGCCCCAGGGGTAGTTCTGTTTCACTTCTTTAGACTCTATCTGCACAAGTCGTTTACTGGAAAGAGGCGGCTGCTGGCGCTGAATGGCAGGATGGTTCCTAGACCCCCAGTGGGGTCTGGTGGCAGCCTGGTGGAAAGGCTGTCAGCCTGCAGTGCAAAGTGCCTGGCTTAAGTGGAAATCTGCTACTGCTCCTGCTAATTTAAAACCAGGCAAATGAAAGTGGCCAATTGAAATTTGAAAGGTCTTGATCAGGTACCCATGTCCTACCATGTTAGGCACGGTGTGCGAGGCTGCAATAAGTAGGAAATGTCCAGAGGCAACTTCATGCACCCGTAAGCCTGAATGGAGTGTGGAGCTGAGCATGGACCGAGGGACGCAAGGTGCTGACGTACGACTGTTATCTTGTTCTGAAAAGTCAGAGTGTGCTGAAAGAGGCCTGGGTGGGTTCCAGCGCTGAGCGAGACACAGCTGCATCGTGTCGCTGCGCAAGAGGAGCTGACGACTGCTGGGGACCGGATGGCTCCCAGCGCTGGGGTTTGGATGGGTTGCTCTCTTCCTCCAGACTGTAAACCTCAAGCCTGTCACAGTTGTGCCAGGGCTAGCGGCCTTAGCTGAGACTCCTTAGATCTCTTAGTAATGTTGCTGACGACTGAAGAGACTGCTTAGGCTACAGCCCACTTGCTGCTGGAGGCTGGAGATCTATGTTGCATCCCTGTTAGCAAGCTGAGGGCATCTGGTCTTGTCCTGGGAGAAGGATCTGATCACCAGCACTGTTTTCTGCAAAAGCAGGAGCAAAAACTGTGCTCTTTCACCCCAATGGCAGGGCTGTACTGTGTCAGCCACAGGCTGCAATGGCAACGTAGGTACTCAGCACTATGCTACTGCCCAGAGAGTGGTGGCCTTTGCCTTGAGAGCGTGCGGTGCTTACTTCTGAGTTTGTTTTTCTGTCAGTCTGTCTGTTCACACTTGTGCAAATACCTCAGCCTATACATATGAGTTCACCTGCAGCTGTTCTCCGACTAAAGCCACAGGGACTCAAATTTAATTTCTGGGATTTTTTTTTTTGCTCAACGTTAAAAGGAGTAACTTGGCATCTGTCAGACTTAGCCTGAAGTAAAACTCTTGGCGCTGGCAAGCCATGAGACAAACTGTGAGACAAAGGCTATTGTAGGAAGTGAGCTTTTTTCCCTGCTGTGAGGTAAGATGCAGACTTATTTCTGATTCTAGACTGACAGCGCGTGGCAGCGATAAAAGTTACTACTCCCTCCTGAATGTCTTTACCCAAAAATCCTTGGGCAGTGGAGTGGGGCAAGACTATTTATGTGCCAAAGAAGGGCTGACGACATTATTTCATTTGTTTGTGGGTTCAGTTTCACTGCTGATGCTAGCTGATTGACGGCAATACTGCTGCCACCAAAATGAGCAGAGTTGAATCAGGCTGCTGATTTGGCTGAAAAATAATCTTGGGGGGGTGGGGGGGAAGTTTTCAGCTACTTCCTTTGACTTGTTGTGCTCATGACCTCTGACATGGGGGAGGTGATGGGAGCGGGTCACCAGGATGGGGAGCGGAGTGGAAGTGCACCTTTTGGCAGCGACTGCCTCCTCCATCTGTTAAAGCCCACTGAACAGCTATCCCGAGAACCAAGTTTACTGTTCTCTTAGGTTGAAATGGCCCTTGAAGTATCTGCTTTCATGTGTACCCAGGCAGTTTCAAATATCCTAGCAGGAATTAGAGCAACTAACTGGATCCTGTAATATTTAGATGTGATAAATTGACTTAAGCATTTTCCATTTCTTATGCCACAGCACTTGTAATAGGAGCCACTAAGATAATTTTTAAAATCACGTTTTCCATGGTTTTAAGAGTTCTGGCTCTTACACAACGTATATTTTATACATGCACACGTGCACAATTTTTCTAACCACTGAATATTTAAGACTAAAATGGGGCAGAGCTTTTATAGTGAGACAAATCTACCTTTGTGATCTTGACTTGATTACTCACAAGTCCTTTTCACCAACAGTCATGCAAATTACTAGTGTTTAGATCCTGAAGTTGCTAAAGGAATGTATAGGAAATGGATGGGGTTTAGGCAGTCTTTCTCTGCTACCGAACCATCATCATACCAGATGAGTTACTGAGTCTGTTTTGTATTTGAAAGAGAAATGTTAATTCCTGTAAGGGTTTCGGTGGAAACTCAGATGTTTCATTCTGAAGTGATTTGTGTTTATAAATCTTCTGTTTTAGCAAGCCTTTTATATATACAAGCCATCTCCTTGGATCAGAGTCTGAGTGTAAATGCCAGAAAGTTGGGACTTGTAATATTTACTGCAGATCTGCCTGAAAGCAATGCTTCCTGCTCCGGGTTTTCCAGTACCGACTTTGCCCACGAACAGATCTGATGGTTTCCTGCTGCTGAAAAGGGACACTTTGTGCCCACCCCTCTGCTCGGTAACCCAGCAGGGCACCATGGTTCTCTGGTGGTCAGCTGAACTGTAACAGGGAGGAATCCTATGATCATGGAAAGTAAGAGGCTGGGATTTGGAGGAACGGGGTGTATTGGTGATTGGGACTTCTCTGGGGCAGCTGTAAGATTTTTCAGATAAGCTCCCTTAATTTTCATGCTGTCTGACCCTTGTAGTTGTGGAGAAAATTTTTGAAATATAAAATTAGTGAGTGTTGATAAATTGAGGCATTATCTTCCTGATTCTGCAAACAGCCTGAAACAAAACCTTTGGAAAGGATGAACTGTTTCTTTTCACTCTCTGGAGGCTTGTTAATCTCGAAACTCACAGGGGAAAATGGAAATGCTAGCTATTTCACAGCTAACCACTTTAGCAGAACTGCCCTGTTTATGCATATTAACTCCAAATTGTCTCCTCCGGAGGTGGAGAGACCCGATCCCTTCCCAAGCACTGTAACATCTCCCAGCGCCCACGGGCGGCACGTGCAGAAATTCGGACGCCCAGCGTTGATGCCTCTCCAGCCTGACGTCCTCTGCCCGCGCCGGCAGAGCTGGTACCTGAGGGACGGCGAGTGGACTGCGTTTCCTCACTTAACCCCACGAGAACTTTGATGTTTTAAAACCAGAAGCAAAGCTGTTACATAATTTCCAGCCTGCTGCAGCGAAGAGCTGCCGGAGGCAACGAGTCCTGACTCAGAATCAGGCCCGGCTTGCTGTTCGTATGCAAAACCATAGAAACTGCAACGTGCGAGCGCCTGTGTCGCTGGGGTGTCGAGCAAAATCGAAATAGCGAGATGATAACGGGGAGCTGTGAAAGTAAGCAGCAGCGGCGACCAGGCAAGCCGAGATCCAAGCTGAAACTGCTTTTGTCCTCGCTCTTTGGAGCGGTCAGGAGTAGGACTGGTGAACCTTGCTGTGGTCAGAGTCCCTCTCGCTGTAGGTTAGCTGGCCATGGTAGGGAGAAACGCGCTCCTCCCTCTGCTGTGGCACCGTAAAGCTTTTGCTGCATTTCTTTTTGGGACTCCCGCCCATCCAGCATCCCTCGTGAGCGCGTCCTCTCCTCGGAAAGGCTGCTTTGTAAAGCCACGCTAACAGCTGAAAATGCTGCGTGTCCCTCTCCCCTGCTTAATCAAAGAGAAAAAAACCTGGTGCACGTGACATTTCTTTCCTTGGAGCCAGGTTTCTACTTCTACCTGTTTCGCGGCAAGGCAAGAGTTGTGCAGGTTTTTGGAGTGACGGTTATCGCTGGATAAAGGCAGCTCTAGCTCTTCTCTGGCCAAGTGCCGTCTCCTGCCTGCAGCAGCTCGGCCGCTGCACAAGGGGAGAGAATTCACACTTGTGTGATTTGCAGAGCTCAGCCATACGTCTGCAATACACTTTTGGGTCAAGCTGGTCTCTATAATTGTATTTCTCTCCTCGCTGGCTGGCAACCCCTGTTCATGCAGGTCTGCTAATTATTTCTGCTTCATCTGGTGCTTTCTAGGACTGAGCTTTCATGGACCAGCTCCAGAGACTCCATGGCAACCGCCCAGCTTCGTTATCACGGACGAGGTCACCCGGCCAAGCGGAGGACCTGGTCCTGGGTGGCAGTGGCAGCAG